CAAGTTTGAGCTAAAAATTTCAAAAGATTTGCTTTGTTCATGCATGATATTCTAAGAGGTGATTCTGTCATCATTTTTGTTAGGAGTACTATTAAAGATTCAGACATTCTATGAGACGTGTATGTTTGTAGAGTGTTTTTGGAACACAGCAATTTGCATTACAGCTAAGATAATACACTAATACTTTGCACATGCAACTGGGAAATGAAAATGTAATGAAACAGAATTCCATTTTGATAGCTTTGATTATTCTGTAGGCAGTTTAACTTTTCAAAACCATTTTTGTAACATTCACATCTGGTTCTATGTCAAGGAGACAAACTTAACTTGTATTATGTTTTGTTAGCACTCTCTCAAGTGGCTTGAATACACTAACCACTGTTTTGGCAATAAGTGAGTAATACAAAATGATGCTCTGTTAAGTTCTGAGTGCAACATAAAGTAAAAATCCATTTCTTTTAGCATTAAAAAGTAGAGTTACATCCTGTAATGATACTTTGGACTAGCTGAATTCTAGGTGTACTTTTATGCAATGTGGTGCTGAAGAATCACAAATGGTGAGCATCTAAAAGATATGCATCTCTCTGTAGAAGCTACAGTTCCTTGTTCTGTAAGTCGTACTTCATGAAAAGCTGTATTATACTAAATACACTGCAAGTTTTAAAAGGCAGTTATTGAAACATGGGCTGTCACTTGCAGGGATATACAATGAGTAAGAATTTGGCAGGTCTTTTTTCTCCTTGGTTTCTCTCATGTTGTCTGTTAATCCCTTTTCTTTACAGAACTAACAACTTTCATGTGTGTAAATTAACAGCGTCACAGTGCTTTTAATACCGCTTACTTTTAGGCAGCTAAGCAATCATCAGCTCTTAAATAAAGATGAAACAAGTTAGTATGGAGTTATTTGTGATTATCCTTTGGTTTCCTGAATAGTAACTATGGTGGCAGGACAATGACAGGTCCTTTTTCAGCTGTGCTTTCCCGTCCCTGCAGGATGCCGCTGCTGTTGTCAGGCAGGCAGCACACTGTGCTGGACTCCTTGCTTTGCAACCCATCGCTGTTAAAAACAAGTCTCCTGAGCCATGACAATAAACATTGGTTGCATTGTACTAATTTTTTTGCTAATCACTCGCGTGGAGTGTTTTGTTTTTCTTTGTCATGTTCTCATTACCTGTCTCCATAAATGAGCATGGTATTTTTACAAACAGTTCCCCAGACAATGCTTCACATAAAGCAGAAGGTACTCAGTCTACCTGGGTTTATTACCTGTTATAGCACAAACATCCCGACTGACCTTTAGCTAGATGTAGTAGGAAGGATTTTCAACGGGTTTTTTTCAGATTGTTTCCCCAAAACTTGACTGAAGTATGCTCTCTGACTGTTGAAGTGAGACTCAAGGGCTCTCCCTCCTCCTTCTTGCTGCAGTTTCCCTCCAAAGGAAATGCAAGCACTCAGGCAGGGTGCCCGGCAGGGACACCAGTCCAGGTGATGCCACACCAGTCTGGCACACGCAGGGGGACCAGAACACACTTACTGGGAGGAACGGTCTGCATTTTAGGGACTGGTAGACTTGTGCAATGTCTTTTCCTTTTGCAAAATGGGGGAAATAAGAATATCACGCTTCACATATAGTGGTGTTTAAAGACTTTAAAGGATGTGATCTTCTTGATTTTGTGCTATATTTGATAATATGTTCAGCTATGCAAAAGTTTCACATAGAGCATTCTGGTAGTTGTTAAGCAACCTGAAACCATGAGCTTATTGTTTTAAAATACAATTCAAATTTCCTGTTAACTGAAATTTACTTCTACAACAGAATTCTCACCTATGCTTTCTGATAATGATTCAAAATGCAGCTTTTGTGAAGTGTAATACATTCTATTCTAATCATTACAAAATAATTGAAAACTAGACTTCTGCAGGAAAATAAATATACAGTTCCAGAAGGGCTTTGAGATTTTAAAATCAAACTCGTGACTAAACCAGGAAAAATGATTGCGTCAAATTTTTCCTCAAAGGAATATGTTTTATGTCAATTTTAATATTGCTTTCATAAATTTTACATTAGATGAATGCCTTTTAATTGTATATCTTTAAAATAGTTCACAATGAAGAACAAACACTTCCAAACCAAAAGTAAACACTATTCCAAAAGTGTATCAAAATAGAATGTTTTGATAGCATCAGAATTTTTTTTCAATTCCAAAAACAATTTCAACAGAAACAGTAAGAAATATATATCAATGAATAAAAACTAGACAATGTAAAAAGCTTACGTAAAATGTAAATGGTTTCTCTGTTAACCATAGTGAGGCTATTTGATTTTCAACCTTTCATTTTATTAGGGCGACCTAAACAACTGAGGAACAGGCTTTTTTTTTTTTTTTTTCCTTCCAGAGAACACAGTGGCAAAATATCAATGGTATGCAGACAGGGCACAATTGTTCTTCCCACTATAAAAAAATGACTAAATAGCAACATGCATTGTTATTTCAAATATCAGGCTACCACTTATTTTGTTATCAAAAATTTCAGCAATGACTTTGATGCTATCTTGGCCATCTTCCTTCAAACCACAGGGTTTCTGGAAGCACTTATATTCAACAAGAAAGCATTGATCCTTATAGCCTCTACAGGTCTTCCCATTCTGAACAATGAGAAGCATTCTAGAATAAACATTGTTGTACAGTGCTATCTAAAGAGGATTACACCTTGATTCTACTGTCTTGAAGTGTTTGCTCATGACTATCATATATCATTTTGAGCATTGAATCATGGCTGTGTGTAAATTATCAGTGGATCATATAATCTTCACAAGCCATCAGTAAAAGGTCATGTATAATTTCTGCAAGTATTTCAAACCAGTCTATAATTTATGATATTTTCTCCCTCTTCCAAATGAATAACATAGTAATATCATCTGTTTTATAACAGTTCTTACAGTAATCTGAGTCATGTGGTCGTTGTAATTTCATAGAGTAACTCAATATAGTCAACAGCAGTATGATTCCTTTTGCAATGACATTGTTTTTCAAAACAACATGTAAGCTTAACATATTTACAAACTAAGAAGTAAAATTGAAAGAATTGATAAATTTCTGCTCCTGGACAGATACACAACAGTGTGTTGAACTAACCAGAGGCCTGATAATGCCAAGATCTCACTGGGTTCCATAAAATAAGCATTCATAAAACAAATAAATGCAAATATATACTTAACAGCTTTTTAAAAAGACATCTTTACCTGTGACTGTGCAAAAGAAAGGAGTATCCCTCCCACCTGTATTGCTAGCCTGCATCGCTAGCTAAACACTAACATTTTAAGGAAATAATTCAGATGTGCCTGTGGGCAACGCTATCAAGGACACCACCACTGACCTTTGGAAAGTGTTTAAGAGTAATGGATTAATTCAGTAAGACAGCTATGTGTGAATATATGTTGTCATTACGTTTGTCCTGATTAGACTTTGTTATACCTTTTATTAGTGAGCATCCTGAAATCTTTGTGAGATGTAGTGTTTATCCCATGGCTAACATTAGGTTATCTGAAATCTGTTCCTGTCTGTCTTTACAAAAATTTAGTGTTTTTTTCAAAACAAAACCAACCAGCTGATTATCGCATTTAAAATAAAGTTCAATTGTACAGAGAGACATTTTACATTTTTACAACAGAATAAACATGTCTACCTTCAAGAAAATGGGGCATTATAAGTATTTTTATAATTCCTCTTCATTTTCTTTTTACATTCATGAATTAAAAATAACTAGAAATTTTTCACAGTACAAATGTAAGCTCATTTGAAAGTAAGAGGAATTATTGTTTTGATTTTATAGATAATACTCCAAATTAAGGGCTGCTATGTCAATTCCCCATCCAAAATTAGTTATCACAGCTGTTATTATATTTCTTATTGTATATTTTGATAATGTGCATTTGCATATTAAACTGAAAACTTCGACATTATGGAAGCAGGTGTTCTTTACAAATCTATAAGCCAGATTGATAAACTGAAATAACATTCATGGATTTCTTTGTCCATAATGCCTTCCCCATAATTTTTATCCATATAGATTGATGGGTCATTTCAGGTATACATTAGAAATCTAATTAGAGATCAATGGAAAATTGTCAGATAATTATTCCCTGAAATCTTCTAGTTTGCCTTACAGCTGATTGTGCTATATGCAGTTCATTGCTTTTCAACACCATTTTCAGAAGTAAAGTTTTGCTTTCACTGATTAATAAAATAAAATAACAATTTTCAGAAAAAAATTAGCAGACAAAACACTGAGGAATAAGGATAAAACCAGTAAATTGAAAAGCATAGTAAATTTAACAGAGTTTTGGTATCTGCAAACTTTCTTAATTGCACTGTTAGGTGTAATTCCATAGGTCTGTTTGATTTCAGAATTATTTTAGGGTTTTGGAGATTTGAGACATTCAAGAGTTTTGTTTCATAGAATGTGAGAGAAATCCTGACATCTCAGCTAATTGTTTTTGTTTGTTTTGTTGGGGGGGAAGTTGTTTTGTTATTCCATTGTTCAAGTTTGCAGTAGAACTGAATGAAAAATACCCTTTTCTGCTGTGTTGATTTCTTGGTCTTTATGGAATAGGCTCATATGTTATCTTTTTTTTCCATTGACAAGAAACTGCACTGTAAGCTGAGCAAACCCCAGAAAACTTTGTCTGAATTGGCATTTCAAGATTTCAGAGTTTAAGTACATTCTAAATGCTTGTGTTGAGTTCTACACATGACACTGAAATAGATGTTTTTCATAGTTATTTTAAATTCTATCCTATGTGCAATAGTGAAATAGTTACTCTGCAAATTCATTTAACATTTTTTCAATAATACAAATTACCTACCAGGCTTACAGAAAGCCAACTATTTTATAAAAGCCTCATGTACTCTATGTATTTTGGGTATTCCACATAAGCTGATAATTACTTTTATTCTTACAAAATATCTTAGATGAAACATTCACTTCCTTGATTTCAGGAGCTGATGCTGTGGAGGCCCAGTGTAAGAGGTTTGAAGTGAGGGCAAGTGACGGTGGAAAAGTATTGTTTTCTGCAGATGAAGATGAGATTGTCATTGGAGCAGACAGACTGAAAGTAACAGGTATGGTAATAATGAAGTTTCTAAATGGATATAAACTTTTTTCTTTTTTTTTTAATACCCTTAGTAATAATTATTCTATGAGCCTTCTACAAAATTTTCATCTACTGCAGAGGAAAATGCCTTCTCATCATCAGTGATTGCTTGACCAACCAAAAGATATTGCATAATCTAGAAATTAGCTCCTGTAAAGGTAGATTTGAATTTAAACTCTGCAGGCCCAATTATGGTACAAATCACCCTTACCACAGTGATTTGGCTTTTATATGTTACCATGAATTAAGCATTGCTTTGTGATATCTATGCCATTTGTTAGATAATGCCCCTTCACAATGACAAAAACTATTGTTATATACTGTGACCTTTGTTTTTTTCTGTATACAAAGTATCAAGTCTAGCTTCCACATGAATTAAGGGTATGTAAAGTAAGCTTTACTTTAGGAGGTTTGGCTGAATTGTAATAAGTAGAAACCTTGTCTTGACTTGAACATTTGCTCAATAGAATAAGAAAAATAATCCTCATTGGTATTTTACGGTCATTGAATATATTTATATAAGGTGTATAAATATAAAGGAAATTTATATATATATATATCTCAGTAACCCATTTCATATTAGCAATATGTTAGCTTGTAAAAAAAAAAATAATTAAAAATCAGTTACCTAACTTTGTTTTAGATAAATGCTTTAACTTTGACTTCTTAATGAAATCTTAGTTGAACTTGGGCACAACTTGGGTTATGCCTCGTAATGCAAAACTTGAATTGCTTCACCAGTGTGGGGTGTTTAGCTTTAGGTTAGCCTATATCTGGGGATGCCTGAGTTACAGAGTTTGAAAGCAACCTACTAGTTTAAAAGTTCAATTGTGTAGAAAGTATAAGATGGTTCTGGTTTATGATGATTATGATAAAATATCCCTTTCTGGTCTGTAAAACTAACAATTGCATTACTAGCAACTTTAAGCCTTTAAAAAAAAAATTAGGTAGTTTTACTTCCGTGTAATGCCAGGTACAGCATTAAAACAGATCCAGGGAGTCCAGGGTCAAGCTGTGACTGTACTTCATAAGCCTCAAGATTCTTGCTTGCCAGTATATGTGGGATAACGTTTCTTCCTCTTTCATTCCTATCTGACCTCTGTCTATGTTCTCTAGCCAAGCAATCTCTTTTAATACTGCTAAACCAAAAGAAAAGGCCTTTACAAGCAGACAGGTTAGTGATGTTGCAGTATCCAATATAATACACTGATTTGTATTGGTTTACCAAAGGTGGGGTTAGGAGAGGGAGGCATTAGTGTTTTGTTGACTCAGCAGGATTCTTCATAGGTAGTAGCTGTACAAGAATTTTACCATAATAAACCCTAAGACAATAACTGGAATAACACAGGAAGAGAAAAGAAAATCATACTGAATCCCGCTAGGCTTTAAACTTGATCAGAATATTAAATACCAAGAAAGCTGATCTTAAACACACAATTGACACAGGAGATTTCAAAGCATCTATCATAAGTTAAAAAATAAGACATCTTACAAATGGCACTGAGAATTAGATTTCCTGCCATTAAGAAATGTAATCATAAATTGTAGATGTTGTGGTAATTTTTTTTTGTCAGACTTCAAAAGCAAAACACTGCTCAACTGTCTTTAACTTCACAGTGGGTTGAGTTCCCACAGCACCTGTTGACATCGGTAATATAGAAAGCAGAACTAATGAAAATTTATTCAATGATGCTTAACATGGAATATAAAATTGTTCCTTCTGAAAAGAATGGGATTTGCTCCTTAATTCCAGAAATATACCTGACTGTATGTGTACTTACATTAAGCTTCCCTTCTCAAATTAAAAAAAAAAAAAAAAAAAGTAAAGGCTAGGAAAACCTACATTTGTGCTGCTTTGATATATTCATCTGAATTTCAGGGATTACTGGATACCTGTTGAGTCCCACCAGAGAATCTCACTAGTAGAGTTGTTTGTACCAGGAATTGATTTTCCTTCTGTGGCTAAAATGAAAACTAAAGAGTTAGGATTGACTTTTCAAAGAAATTATTTCATTTAACTAGAAAAAATATTTTAGGATTAAAATTATAAAAACATTGACTTTAATTACTTGCACACACACACAAAAGAAAGATTTAGGCAGCATTTAAATATCACAAAGAAAACAGGCATATTGCAGGATTTATCAGGTTCTAAATGTTGTCATTTAGGTCATGAAGTCAAATACAAATTACGTGCCATTAAATAACCTATGTCCAACATTTGGAGCTGTTTCTTTGGAAAAATATGTTAAGATGTTTTGTAATTGTAATTTGAAAGAGTAATTTATTTTAAAAAAATCACTTGAAAATTATTGTCTTTTGTGTTTATTCAAAAGTAATTTAATAAAGTTGGGATCATTCTTTCTAATCTCTGGATAATTGTCTTGAAATCAGATTTCATTAGTAAACTATCTTATAATGAGGTGATAAAAGGCTAGCTTAAAAATTTTATGCTTAAAATCCCTAGGATCCACTTTAGATTTACCCTTCTGTCATCTTGTTAGAGAAGAAAAATATTATCCCACAGAATGAAGGGAAGAGTATTAGATTTCTAAATGAATGAGCATTTCTGAAAGGCTTGCACAAAATAACCTCATATCCCAATTTCTGTATCCCTAAAAGGTGTTTTGCAGCATAAGTACTAATCTGCAGCCAAATAATAAAGCTATAATGAGACATCTATGCTTTACTGTTGACTTCAGTCTAAAGCTGAAATTGTTTAACATAGATTTCCCAATGGAGAATAAAAGTTATATGATCCATGCAATATCAAGAAAAGTATTTTAAAAAAAAATCTTCCAAAGGTAAAAAAAAAAAAAAAAATTCTAACTTCATGGAAGAATAAAATAACAAAATCTTTCTTTCATATATTAGCTCTTTGAATTCTGTCCGAAGGTTGTGTGATACCTTTAAATTCTTCAGCAAACCCATGAAAAGTGATGAGTCCCTGTGAGTTGCATCAATCAGACTGCATTACTCTATATGATATGATATGACTGATGAAACCTGGCAAGGCATCATAATGTCAAACATCAACCAGAATTTTTTTAGTGTATTTTTCTCAAGTCTGTGTTTTGATAATCATAGTGCCTTGGGGTGAATATAGGAAAGGAGTTACGGAAGAACAGAGAAAACAAAAAATTAATATCAAAAATAAAAAATAAGCTGTGCCTATTTGGAGATGAAAGTCTCAGGTGTAGTTATTTGTATGGTACAACAATGAAAACCTGATTTTATTTTCTTACTTAGTTGTGAATAGTGTCTCCTTGGAAACATCTCACTGTGAATGGGTCCAATAAATGATGCATTTTGGTAATTAATTTTCTAAAGCATTCCCATTTCATGGGCATTTATAAACCAGTATGGCAATGTGAGATTTATTTTATATGATTTTTTGTCAATTCAGAAGAATACTTTTGTAATGCACAACTTCAAAAAGCAATCTATCATAAGGCAGTGCAAGAAATTCTTGATTAATAAAAACTTGAAATATTAAGTTTACAGCTTCTCATTGATTATTTTTGTAGCATTTTTATTTGTAAATTTTTACATTGGCAGTCTATTCCAGGGAGAAATGTTTAGTAGAAACAGGCTAGTAATACAGCTATGAATGTTTCCCAGATAAGAAAAATAATGGAGTCAGAAGTAGTACTTTTTGTTTTAGAGATACTGCAGCTATATATTTCCTTATTAAGAGTCTGTCACTATAGAATTAGGCAGTTGGCTGATTTAATTTAGACTTCTTATTCTTCCTTCCGTTGTCACTTTTGCTTTTTCTTTTAACTGCTTTAGCTCTTTTCTAATTTATCATTCAAGGAAAGAAGAAAAAACACTCAACCTTTGCTTTGCTAGACAGCACTGTTAGAACTGCAGCTGATTAATGTCCCTGTGTGCAGGGATGCCTCCTACTACTGAACTTAACACGTATCATGGAGCTTTGTAGGGAGGGAAGAGAAAGGCATGATGAAGTAAACATATTGCCAAAGAGCTGGGAAACAAGCAGGAATAAGCAGCTGAGTTTCTGGTGGACTCACAGGTTCCTTTCTGCACGTTGTTAAACCTTCCTCCATCCCTTATATTCACCCTGTCCCAATGACTGGACAGTGTCTATAGCATCGTGGAGTCTTCTTCACTCCCTCTGTGGCTACAGAGCATGTGTGTCATTTTCCCTTCCGTTATTTAAATCTTAAGTTTTATCCCCTGTGCTTTTATTTCATATTTCTTTTAATTGCAATATGATCTCTGTAAGATATTCTTGTAGCAGAACTTGAAAATACTGTATTGGTGACACTTGTAGGTGGGAATACAAGCATATATCGCGACTCAACTTTATGCCTGCCTGCGTACTTGTGAGTAAACCGATCAAGAAGGCCTAGCTCAATACAGGTTTTTCTGAGATACTGCTACAACAAAAAAGTAATTTTTTCTATGAAGACTTCCACTGTATGTCTGTGTTAGTACAGTTTGTATTCCTTTTTTTTCTTAAGCCAAACTTGTAGTTAGCAGCTATATAAGCAGCACTAGGCAAAGCGGAGGTCATCTCGTTCTGTTAAACACCTGCTTTCTTTGGACAACGTAACTGAGGTTTTTTCTCCTCTGGCTTTTGAAGTGGTTTGCTCAGTTAAAGCTGAAAGGATATTATCAGAACCCTTTTTTCATTCAACTTACAATGTTTTATCCAAATTATACAAACATTTTGCTTTTTTTGAAAAGAGTGTTTTTCTCTGATTTTTAAAGAAGAGACTGCAATTCAATTCATATTGTCTCCTACATGTTCTTCTGACCTATATACTTCATTCAGACTTGGCTACATTGTTCTTTATTTAACCATGATTTTATCTCTGACTCATAAAAACAATAATGTAATTTGATTTTTTTACAGGTTTAGGTACCTTCTTCTAAATCAGTTGTATTTGAACATGTGGCTGTTTTGATTAATCATGTTTAAGAAAAGACAAGACAAAAATG